TTCGCGTATGATGTAGGCAATTGGGATGACCCCAACCGGATTCGCTAATTTAGTACTAGAGAAGGTGGTTGATGAACAACACTCAGTACTGACAACGCTTTAGACCGGCCTTGTAACTGCTGAATACTCAGCTTTGTGGCACCAATGACCTGGAATGGATGAGCAAAAGCACACTTCTTCTTGAGTTGTGATGCTGGCAACACTCAGAAGCCAGTAGACCTGCATTGGTTGAAAGTAAACGAGTTTGGCGGTGCCCCAACGGAACAGACTGCGTTGGTCCTAGGCTCTCTCCCATCTGTTGCTAATAAGGTGTTGCAAACCTCCTTATCTTCCCCTTTTCCGACCATGACATCTAAAAGCCATTGTTTTGTGGTTCGATTGTCGTCATAAGTTATTATATGAGCAACCTGGTCTCAAGGCCCCCATGCCACGGTCACGGTCAAGGCAGCCAGGGTGTGCGTGCTCTCGTCCTGAGTAGGATTCTCGACAATGGGAAGGGATGGGATGGTATGGAACATGTTGCATCATGGTTGATGATCAGACACGACTGACTAGCTAGTGGGTACACTTATAGTTCCCACCACGAAAAAGGAGATGGGAGCGTGAGGGATCCCTTCCTTTAGATGTGGAGTTGAAGCCATTTGTCATCGGGCCAATCGAGAGATAATCAATCGACCAATTAAACTCATGTTTCTATAATCAATTCGACCCCCCGATCCAATTGGGGGCAAATGCCTATGAAAAGATCGCTTGGATTTACGTAAAGGTTGCTTTGATTTATCCATGGTTTATTCCTTATTTCAGAAGAGAGGTCTTCCGTTCCTTAATGGAGTCGCCAGATGTTTGGAGGTTTCTTAAGCCATCTGCTAGGAAGCCCTTGATAACCAAGAAAAACACAAACAACACCTTGACGAGAGGTTGATTTTACAAAGAGTTCTATTTTATTTCTGAGTGAATGGTTTCAAGGTAGTCGTGGATACCTTGTTAATTACATTCACCTCCCTTACAATGGAGACGTGAAACACCTCTATTTAATTGGTTACAAATGGCTCAAATAAAAAAGTAGTAGTAAAGTTTACAACATATGTCCATATACGAAGGGTCTTCTATCGTCTTCTTGGTGGTCTCTGAAATTCCTTGCTTCTGTGCAGTGTTCTATCGATCACCCCTTTTCTTACTTGTCTCCTTGAGTACCGGTCTCCTGCTTATGCTTGTGGTTGCTGGTTTATAGAGGTTAAGGTACTCCAGCTGGGTGGTGTGGCAGAGTGGTGTAATGGGCATAATGATGGTTACACTCCACTCCTGATGGGGATCATGTGTTTACACATGTCGAATATGCTGGGACATGGCGTCGACAAATATCGCTCTTCTTGAGGGTCACATATCTTTAATCGAGTTGAGTTCTAGAAGACTTGAATTCTTCCGATCATGAACATTTTAATCCGGTTATTTTAGCTGGACAATACTTATGTATAGAGAGGTGGGTCAAGGATACTTTGGGTATTTATTGCTCCTATAGAGATCACTTAGCGTTGGGTAGAGGATATTTCTACTCTACCCTTCCTGCAAGACATCTGTAGCATTTTGGTCACTTTAACTTCATTTGCCAAGGTGATTGATGTGTTTAGTAATGTTTATTCATCTGAAACATGCAATATTAATTCCAGTCCTCATGATGTCCTTAGGTAAGATGTGAATTTATGTAATATTGGGGGCTTGTAGTCTATAGTGTATTAATGGGAGTCTTGACCAACCAGGGGAACCTCTCTAGTGCGGATCGTGCTATGAGAAAGTACTGGAATCAGATATATTGGAACATATCTGGTAAAGTTTGTACTTTGAGCGTACTAAGGTAGAGGGTGTGAAGTGAGGCTCTCAGGAGTCTGCCGTAAATATATAAAGAAAAAAAGGTTTACTAGTGATAAAGACTACTGTGGGCAAATTACATGCAGGACCCTAGACTGTAGAACTATCCTAGCGGTGAGAGGTATATTATAGGCTCAACACTTAGTCTATATCTTATAAGGGTGTCCCTGGTTCACCTTAAATGGATATTCAAATTGGGGTTTGTCTTTCTTAAGAATAGACTAGGGCATAGTTTGTGGTGTCAAAAACACCTAAAGAGTCTATGGATTTGTCGACAACTCCAAAATATGTTAGGTAGCCAAGGGACACTCAAAACATGGGCCCATACACACTGTTGCCTGTCCTAACTAGGTAGTGGGTTGATTTGTTAATGGATTTCACTGTGGGCCTACCAAGGACAACAAAAGGTCATGTTCAATTATGGTGGTGGTGCATATATTTTCTAATATGGCGAACTTTATATGGCATGGGTGAACCACTAATGGTAAGATTGGTGGCATCCCAAGACCATCACCTCAAACCATGATATCCAATTGCTTAGCCATCTTTGGTGGACATAATGGGGAAAATGGGTACAAAGTTGCAATTTAGCAGTGCCTATCATCTATCGACATATGGGCAAACCAAGGTGATCGCTAGAAGAGTGGCAACATGACAAGGAGTTTGGGTGAAGGAAATTTTAAGTGTGGGATTTGGTGCTACAGTTGGGTTTGTGTATAAAAGTTCTCCAACTCGATCTTCCAACAATATCTCTCCAGTCATCAGCTGAGAAAATGTGAAGTAGGGGATTTGAAAGATCAAGAAGATCACTAGTGGCAACGCTTATTAGGTGGAGTTGCCTAGTGGATAGAATCTTCTCCAATCATCAATGTTCGAGATTTGTTCGTGTTCTAGGGTGATGTTGATATGACGGAGTTGAGTCTTCTCCAAATCAAGGAGGATGCAAATCAAAATTCAAGAGTTAGACTGAATTGATTTTTGTTTAGAACGGTATCCTATGTAGGGGGACTAGAACGGTATCCTATGTAGTCTATGGACAAGGGTAGTAATCTAGAAATTTAATTTCTTTTGGGATTTTAGAGCAAGGTGTTTCAAGAATTTAGGAGAGTAAAACTTGTGATGTGGGGTTTCTTTTGTCTTAGCTTTTGATTTCCTTTTTAAGATGGGGATCATGTTCGAATGCCTAGTGGGTAGGGAGGTGCATGAGTTTGGTAAATAAAGAGTTAAACTTGTGGATGTAGAGTAATTACGTTGGATTCAAAAGAAAGGGAAGATGTGAGTTATCTTTGAGTTCTTTTCTATATATGGTCTGGAATGTATGAAAGGGTGGGACATAGCATGAGAAAGGAGTTGGTTTTGTTTTATGCGAGATTTTTCTCATGAATGAAGAGAGTGCGTCATCGGTGAAAGGGAACGTCTTCTTTCTGGTTTGATTCAATGCACTTGTTTGCCTCTGAGTGTTGCTGTTTTCTTTGGCTTGATCTACGATCGAGGAAAGGGTGGATTAGTTTCTTGCCCTCCTTTCACCTCAACGGGTCACTTTGTGGGCGCTCTATAATGAGGCGCAATGTTTTAAAATATGTTTGAACCAACTCGGACTCACCAAAGTCAGCTTGAAACTAGTGCCTTGGCCCTATTTACGTAAAACATGGCTCCATGATCTAAATTTTATCATTTCTCTCCAATTTCTCAATGATTTTTGGTGAAATTTTAGGGGTTCTCTTTGGTTTTTAATCCTTTGTTGGCATGTATAAAGATTTGTGGGCGAAATTAGAGGTATAAATGTTTACCTTTTTTATACGAATTTTCATGCCTAATGTACAATGTTTCTTTTCTTGCTCTTGTTTTTCAATAATCTTTTGTAGGATTAGAAGCATTTTGTTCTGTGTTAAATCCTCTATCATATGTATATAGAAGTTTTTTTGTATGTGAAGCCCAAGTTGAAGAAATCTAAGATATGAATTATGGGTTTTTTTCCCCCTTCTGACCTTTATTTTTTTTCAATTTAAACCTTTCTTAGATTTTAAAAAATTTAAACCTATGTTTTTAGATTGTTTTGATGATTCACATCCACAATTTTAAATCGTGCAAATCTTTTTATTAAATAAATTCATAGGTTCATTGAGCCGGCTTGCTGAGTAGGCTGATCCTGCTCGGAGCCGTGGATGACCGGTTCGACCGATGGGTCCAACTTTTTAAAACATTAGGTGCACGTGGCAACTTTTGTCAGATGGCTCAGAGCTGTCCTATTAGCCCCAGCCACATATTACATATATGTGGTTAGGGAAGCATAGAAAGTTTTTCCTATCATAATCAGATAGGCGACAGTATAGGGAGAGATAGACACTGAATTAGATTAGGGATGGCTATACCCTCCCTCTCTTCTCAAGGTCTCCTATAATCATGCCTCACCCCTAAACTCGCTCTTTTGGTAGTGTGCTATTCTAGTTAAATGTGACGTATCCAACCCTTTAACTATGACTGATATTGTAGAATAATTACAAGGATAGAGATGTGGTTTTGGTTGACAGTTTCATTTTTTTTTTTAAATATATCGGTTGACCCCCCCCCCAAAAAAAAGAAACTTGTGATACGGAAATATGGTATGTGATCAATGATTCCGAGAATAACGGATCATTTTGAGAGCCTTTGTGATTTCCTGGTGTCTCATTGCACATTTAGAGTTGCCATCAGTGTGATTGGATAGACTACCTTGTATCTTGATGGGTCCACTCAATCATGGCCCCAAAGGATGTGCTCCCCACCTTGACCCAGCTGCTTTCCATCTTATTTAATGCTAATACCATGAGTCTAATATTAGAATTATGACTGGCCTGTAATCAGTGTCTTTGACATAATTTCGAGAGTTCTTTTTGATATACTTTGTGTTTATTGCATATCTGATTTGGTGCAAAAATCTTTTTACCATGTTAGTCGATGTTTGGCCCTTTTCTTGATCCTTAAAATCTTTCCGTTCTTAAAGACATCTCTTTATTATGGGTCATAACTAAGGTATCTATGTCCAACACATTAATCAACCTAATGAGGCATTTAAATAATTATTTTTCTTTTATGGGAAACATATATATTTTATGTAGACATCAGGTATCTATCTTTCTTTGTTGGTGACTTAGGTTTGAACCTTGAAGTGGATAGAATATTGGAGATCGCTTGCATAATTACTGATGGGAAATTGACAAAAGTGTTGGAGGTGAGATTTTCTCTTACCTGTTGTAAATATAATTATTCTTTTATTTTTACTGTGCTGAATGCTTTACTTGGGGATGTATTTTACCTCATTGTTTGTTTTTGTTGCAAGCATTGATCTCTGATTATTGAGGATAGTTCTCTTGGAAAATTATCTTGGTTCTGTAGTTCAGGGATGTTAGGCGTTTATCTGATAAACATAATTGAAATATGTCAATGTTTATCCTTAGGCAACACTGAAATGTCGTTTTTATGTTCATGATTTCCAAACTTAACCCTATGTTTTAACTCCAGATCTTACTCGCGATGTGTGGCTTTAAAAGAATTCCTATTATTACCACTCTATATGCAAAATTTGATATATCTGGCACATTGTACAAGAACTAGGTGAGTGGGGTTTGGACTTGAGCCCCACAGGGTGCTGGGTCTAGAGGGTCCCAAACCAAGCAGGCCTGTCCCCTTAAACAGAGCCAGCTAGGCCCGTAAAGGGGCTTGCTGAGTTTCTGCTCAGTCTTGGGCAACTTCCCGAGTACTGGCTGATTGTAGCCAGGACTCGGCTTTCAACAGTTTTATTATGTTATTAGATTTAGGCAGAAAGAAAAACTTATATGGCGGGAAACTTTGCCACATCTTTTCATGAATCTTGAACCTATATGGCGGATTATGATTTATGTAGTCGACCCCAAATAGTGGGGACAAGGCTTGGATGATGATGATGATGATCTAAGCAGAAAGAAAAGTTGTCTTTTTAACCCACCATGGGATATGAAGTCCCCGAAAAAATTTCCATGGGGCTGTTTTCAGCCTTCTATAGTGTGGCTGATCCCAAATAATGGGGATAAGGCTTGGATGATGATATGGTTTAAACAGAAAGAAAAGTTGGCCTTTTAACCCAACATGGGATATGAAGACCCTGGAAAAAACTTCCATAGGGCTGTTTTCAGTCCTCTATTGCTCAATGTTATGGAAACACTTTGTTTTCCTCTTGGGTCATGTGCTGACACGTGACTTAGGCATGTCGACAGATCATGACACGTGCTAGACACTGTGGCCATGCGTGTTTGAAGTTTTTTATATCGAAACCGTGTATTCACACTAATTAGAATGTGCCTACCGTTCAGACACAGTCACAATTTTATAGCATTAAAAAATTTGCTTTGTTCAAGGGATTTGAACCCACAACCTTATAACAATTTGCCAAACCCCTTAGCCACCACAACACCGCTTTGAATTATGTTAGATTTTTGAGCAGATATTAGAAAGTGCAACTGCAAGTAACGCTTGCCTTGCATCTATTAGTGCATTTATTAGTGCATTTATTAGACGTACAAAATAACATTTGTTGGTTCATTTATTAGAGGTACAAAATAAACCAAGTCCAAATGTGCAAAACTTCAAATGGTGACAAGAGATAAGTGCTGTTATGCTTGGGCATGCATAAGTTCATGAATATATCTTATAATGTGGTCGACTTATTATCTATATTTGTTAATGATTTATTATAAATCATCATATTAATATGGTTCCATATAGACTAAATAACTATTCCTTATAAAATTACTTTTTTTATCTAATATTTATTTTTATTTGTTTTTCGCTAAGTAGAAGTTTCTGGTTCATGGGTTTGAACCAAAATCTAATTTCTAAAATGAAGTTATAATTAGTTGGTTTAACAAGATTTGCAAAAAAACTTACCAATTTCGCAGATTATAAGGAAATAATAATTCACATTTCAAGTTCAAGTGTTGACGAACCTCATAGGAATTCAGTCTGGAAGCCTAGTACAGACATATGTCGGTGCCATGCTAGATTTTTGGGCTGATGTACTAGACACTTGAGACACATACTAAGCACGACACCCATGTCGGTGACCATGTAACACTGCCATTACTTGGTTTTACAAGATTTGCAAAAAAATCTTACTAATTTCACATATCAAAGGGAAATCGAAATTCACATTTCTAGTTCAAAGTGTTGGCGAACCTCATACAAAGTCAGTCTAGAAGCCTAGCCCTGACAATACGTTGGGGTTTGATTTAGCGGAACTTGATGTTCAATCCACCACTGATAACTGATTTCGAGTCTTTGTTTTTTGTAAAATTTGAATTGACGTTGAATGTGCTTTTTTGTTTTCAGTATAAAACTCTTGTTCTGGTTTGTTTTCTAAATACTCTAGACCAACATGGTGTCAGGGTTTGTTTTACATAGATGTGGCTTTTATTTGTCAACCAGCAGCTATGTCATTTGTTTTCTTTGAATATGTACATTATTTTTTAATAACATGCTGAAATTATCTGTATAAATAAGAAAATTATCATATCTTTTATTTTAGCAAGGTATATGTTCGTAATTATTATTTTTAGTTTCCCCAAGTTATTCTTTTTTTGTCATTAATTATTCCTTATTTTTGTGGAGTTTTTCCTTTTTTAAATTTTACTCCCATTTTATTCCATATATACGTTTTTCTCTTTATTGCTTTTTTTTATGTCTTTGCGCATGTAATGCATTTGGGGATGCCAATCCGCACCCAAATGCGTTAGTTTGGCGCAAACAACAATTCTTTTGAGAACAATTTTTTGGGCATTGGAATGCTTTCCTTTTTTGTTTTTCTCCCCTTACATGTGCTGCATATTTAAGTTTGCCAATACCTACCTTTACTCGTTCAGGTCAGGTGCAAACTGCCTTCTTTTTTTCTTTTTTATTTGAGAAAAATTGTAAGTGACCAATATTGACCGAAATGCATTCTATTTGGGTGCAAATAATGAGTTTTTGGAGCAACCTGTAAACTTATGTTTTTGGGCATTGAAATGCTTTGCTTTTTTCTTTAGTTATGTGTGTTGGTTCAGTTACCAAGGCCTTTTTGTTTCCATTTGCCATTTCTTATGGCTATGGAGTATGTCGTAAGGGAAAGAGTATCGCGCTTGGGTGTATAGAGTGAGAGTATTTCCAAACATTATTACTGGGATCTTCCAAGGAGGGGTCGTTTCCAGCTTCCGCTTGGGTGAACAATGATTTTTGGAATGTGGATTTCAGTCCAAGTCTAGCACATATCACTACAGTGCAAAGGGGTATCTCTCTGTGCATATGTACACGTTTCGAACCATAGGAATGCTTCCCAGTAATGTAGCTGTCATGTGTACATGTCTTGCATAGATTTGCTCAGAGGCTTTGGCCCTTGCTCTCACAGGCCTACAACCACACACAGGAGACCACACAATTCTCCTAACCTACAAACATCATCCCTAGGCATCTCTCCAACCTCAACCAGGGATGGCCCATCGTAAACCCTTCTCGGTAGTGCCACATGCCATGGGGTAAGGGTTTTTTACATAACCAGAGCCATAAGCTGCCAACTGCCCAACTCATGGTCAGTCTACATACAAACTCCTACTAAAGTACATATTCCATTATAAAGTATCATTTTTACTAGCTCTCTAGTTTTTTAAAGGCCACAAATCCCAACAATAGTGAGTACCATGACCTGCGAATCCATGATAGCTAATGCATTGCCTGGTATGAACACCCCCCCAACTGCATATAAGCTTAGTAAGTGGTGCTTAGACGAGTGAAGCCTAAGTTTGACTTGTTCATTGATGAGTAGAAGCAACTGAGGGGCTAGGGATGATCATTATGTTTTATGGTTGGAAGGACATACATAGAAGAACATTCATAAGTTTCTTCATATATTGTCTGCATGGGACTGTCATCCAGATCAGTGTGGAGGCTTCTCGTATGTTCAAGTGGCCGAAGTTCATTGTTCAAGCGATTGGACGATGTGGTGGAAGCTGTCGGCATGATTGACGATGCTAAGAACTGTGTCAACACAAGAAAGAGGCTGATGAGGAAGATGAAGCATTTGGTTTGGAGTACTTGTTGCTGCCCATGATATTGATCTGATGCTCGAAGATACTGAGTAACTGAAGCAAGTAAAAGGCTATATTGGGAAGCAACATACCTTTACCAAGTTCAAGTATAGCTATTTGTGGGTTCTCTATTTGATGGGCTAATACATATAGGGAAGGGAGTTGCTTAGGGTTTATGGGGATGAAGAGGCATGGCTGATATGTAGTTGTTGATGGATGGGAAGGTGGTGTGGTTAGGTTTAGAAGAATCGGGTTTAAGGGGGGTGAAGATTGGGCAAAAGATGAGGGGGAGGAGAGAGATAATGGGGTCGTAGTGAAGCAGAATCGCTGCTGCATGATGATCTCACACCTGATTAAATGATGATATTTAGTGCAAAGAATGGAGGAACAAGATTCATGTAGCTGACCCCAATTAATTGGGATAAGACTTGGATGATTATGATTTAGCGCAGAGAACTTGGCTGCCTGTAGACATGATTACACTTGTTTCGAGCATGAGCAGGATCGGAAGGAAGAGTAGAATTGGGAATGGGGGATCATTTCTTGCCAAAACCGCCCTTGCTAGGGAGTGCCATGGAAACACCATATAATATATGTTACAAGAATAAGATAAAAAGTAATAAAGAGTTTTGATGCTTTAGTTCTCTTAGACGTGGTATATAATGAAATTGTTTCTCCTCTAAAACCCATAATCTACCTTCTAATGCATTTTTTTAATCCACAATGGATCCCACCAAATAAAATAGGGGGCACTTCCTAAAAATATTTAGTGGAAAGATTTCTTAAGAAGACGGGGACTGCATTTCCAAGAGAACACAAACACATTCCCTTTCCTGAACTGTGGATCCTCGCTCTGAGAGCTGGATTGCAATTGTAGGTGAATGATCCAGGCAATCACAGGCCTAATACATGTATTTCAGGGCTTTGGGGTACGGTATCCTAGCTTACTTGGACTATCAAGTAATGATTGACCAAGGCTCCAATAATAGAAAGGAAACTCAAATACATTGGAGACTGAGTTTGTAATAATACAAAAAGGAAACCTAGACATTTAAGATTCCTCAATAAGAAGAAGAAATCAAAACTCATAACTATACTGAAACCTAATTTAACTCTGAATTTGTAATAATTTCATCACTGCATTTGAAGCCATGGAGCCTAACATGCCCAAAATACGAAAAATACATAAGAGATGAGGGTTATAGATCATGAAGAGATCTTTGAATTGATCTGCATCACATTTCCTAAGAAGAGAGCATATCCATATTTTTCACGATGTACTATGAATTTTGTCCAAGAAATGTCCACTTGTTGGCCCTTAAACATGCTTCAATACCTGGTACTAAAATTTCCCAATAAATTCCTTGATACTAGCACTAAAATGTTACTGGGTTCCCATTTCCAATCTGGTATTCTGACAGTTTTTAAATTTGAAACAGCCTATACTCTTATATTATAGTTCCTACACTAAGTGCTTCACAGTTTACTCCATTTCTTCTACCAATGTTTAGAGTTGCTTTCTACCTTATACTTTTGGGCTGACCTGAAGCTCTTGATTCCCATATGTTTGAGATGGATGTGGCTTTCAACTTAGAAGTTTTCTTATACTCTGCCGCTGTCTTGATATGAAGCTGGTAAAACATGTCCTTGTATAAGGTTTTCGTAATAGACAGTGATTAATTTAAAGTTCTGAACTGATCTTGATGAACTATGCTAGCATATACATAGTGCTGCTTCTCCTATGTTTGGAATCTTTGGTCTGTGCTTGGTTGTTATATTATTCCATCTTTTGTATATGTCTTTGTTTTTCACTTTGCTAAGCTGTAAGATTCAATTAAAATTTCATAACAAAGTAATCTAGCATCCCTAAAGAAAGCACCGTGCCTAGCCTAGAACACAATCCCCCTCCCCCCCCCCCCAAAATCCCCGCCCCAAGTGGGAAAATGATGGTGACTCTTCTGGAAGCCACATGAACTTGGCTCTCTTTGGGTTTTGTATTTTTTTGCTTTGGATTCAACAACTTCTCCTATGTTTGAAGACCTAAATGAAGTCCCATTAAACCTTAATTGTTGCATATATAATTATTAGTACTGGATGCTGGGAAGAAAGTATTGGGGTTCGACTTTTGTATATGGCCTTCATTTTTATCTTACTCTTCTTGCTCCATAGATTTCTGCTTGTTGTGACCATTTTACATTTTAAATTATTCTATATATTTCTGCTTGTTGTGACCATTTTACAATTTGAATTATTCTATATATTTCTGCTTGTTGTGACCATTTTACAATTTACTTTACTAATCAATAGATCTGTGGTCAAACATGTATGAAGGTTTTTTTTGGGTGTTACTAAATTTAGCATGAATTCTTAAGTAAAATGGCATCTGAAATAATTATTTTGGAATGACTTTTGGATATTGGTTGTGCTTTAATCAATCATTGTGTTGATCTAGTTTGTTTAGCCTTTTACCCTGTGTTACAAACATTCGATGTTAGATTTTCCATCCAAAGGAAGCAGTAGTAAGTGCGATTCATTAGGTAAGGAGGGAGGGAGGAACTACTAGTAAACAGCCGGTGCAATGCATAAGGAAGAGGGGGAGGGGAAATCTTTCTTTCTTTTAAATATACAGATATTTTTGTATGAAATCAGTTGTATGGAACAGAACATTTCCTTAATATTGCATCTGTGTGTACCTTGTTATGCTGATTTACCGCTATTTATAGGGCCCAGATTTTATAATCTATCAATCGAAGGAGTGCCTTGAAAATATGGGAGAATGGTGTCAGAAGCAACATGCTGCTAGTGGTATGCTTCTCTTTGATCATCTATAATGTCTTGATTCACTAGTAGGAATCTAGGGTTTGTTTGACCGTTTTATTTAATTGAGGGCATAATATTATTTTGAAATTCTCTTCGTGTCATGGAACTATTTCAACCTGATATTGTGTGATATCTTTTTAAGGGTTGACTGCGAAGGTACTCCAAAGCACAATTAATGAACAGGACGCTGAGAAACAGGTCGGTGGAATTTATTTCTGACCTGATATTTATGGGCGCATGTGTTCTTAGCACATACACTGTTATATACATTCGCATGTGCATCTGTGGCCACGCACACTGGTGTGTATATCTAAGACCATGTACTTGAGTGTGTGTGTTTATTTTCTTCACAGATTGAATTACAAAGGATATGCTTTATGTAGTTGTCTGTCTTGCTTTCTTGTCATGTACATGTTACAAATGAGACTGAGATATAAAGCCTTCCGAAAAATATAATGGACATTCACCTTATTTTTGGATTTTTCTGTAGCACATGGCGCTGGTTTGTGTGTTTTTCTGTTTTTTGGGCGGGGGGGGTGATTTGATTGTTTGGGTTTTGGGCATCACCAGAATTTGGTTTTTTCCATTCCATATATTGTTTTCCAGTGCATTTTGGCCCTCTCTTTTTATTTTTACATTTCCTGTTTTCTTGTAGTATAATTTGAAGAACTTATTTCTGAATAGAATGCTGCAGGTTATAGAGTTCATTAAAAAAAATGTTGGAACATATCAACCTGTTTTAGCCGGCAATTCTGTGTATGTGGATTTTTCATATCTGAAGGTGAGATATGATTGCTACTAGTCTTCTATTTTCTTTTTATTTATTTTTTAACACTTGGTTATGTGTCTGGTCTTGGTTGGCATGCTTTTTAATTGCTCTGATTTGTCAGCTTTCAATAATATGGCTTTTACTTTTTCTTGTAAATGTTGGGATTTGTGGCCTTTAAAGGCCTAGAGAACTTGTGAAAGTATAGCTTGGTTATGTGCATAGAGAGGCTCATTTGCACTATAGTGACAAGTGTTAGACTTGCTCTTAAAGCGGGGGTATTGGGCCTTTTTTTTTTGAAGTGTGGGTCATGGGTCTTCGTTGGGTGTTGGATGAGAAAACAGTAGTGGATTATAGCTATTAAGTCAAGTGGAGTGTCTTTATTGTTGTTAATTTTGAACCATTGGTACCGGTCCATTTCTAAATATTTTATTATTGGTAATTGAAATGTTTTTGTGATTTTTACAATTTTTTTTTAGAATTGTAAAAATTTAGTTATGCTGTAAAATCATCAAAAAGGATAGTTTTGAAATTATCAGGATATGGAAGGGCACATGTGGGGACTTAGGATCCAGCCCCCGCATGTATGTGCCATCTGTGAGTGGGACATTTGCCTTGTGGGGTCCACATAAAGTCCATAGGCCCCACGTATTTTGTTTTATGTAGCACTTTTAATCAAAAGTAGGGAATCGTTTAAAATTAAATAGATTTTCCCTATTCAAGTAGGAGTTATTTTTGACCAAAATAAAAAGATTATCTTTGACTTTCTATAGATTTTGTTAAGATATTAGGAAGATCTACATAATACTAAAAATAATTAAAACTTTAATTTAAATAGAAATTGGACTTGAGTCAAATTATAAAGGGATAAGGTTCCTAATTCCACCGAAAAATATGATGGCTGATTTGTAGGATGGATGACTCAGATTTAATTTCTCTTACCTCACAGATTTCGTAATATCCTAATGTTCAACTTGGATAAATTAGATAAGGCATACTAACATATCCCATTCCAAGTGGGAGAAAGATTTCTTTCTATATAAACCATATTGAACCTTTGTCACAAGGTTTGACAAATCTCTCTCTCTCTCTCTCTCTCCCCCCTCCATGCCTCAATATTTCTCTCTCTCTCTCTCTTAATTTTTAATCACATCTCTCTCCCCTCTTGCCCTAGGGCCACGTCACCGAAAAGAAAGAAAAAGGACGTGGCACTTTAAAACTCTAGGTTAGGATTTTGCTTTTTTTTTGAAGAACAAGAGAGGTACAGCCAGCCAAGAGAGAAATAAACCCTCAAGCCTAGCCCTAATTTAATCCTATAGGTTCCTACAAACCCTAAATTACATTTATATGCTCTCTAAAACCCTAGATTGAGAGATATTTCCTGAAAAGCTTCCCTATCTCAGAAATTCCAGCAAGATCCAAAGGATTAAAAGTATGCCATCGGGCAGGGAATCTAGTGTGGGCTGTATCCAGTCCTGTGGAGTTGACTCGAGGCATCATCTAGTAAGCGTTCCTGGTTGATTTAGTTATGTTTCCGTTGTTTTTTATATTTTTCGATAAATTTCCAAGAATATATTTTGTATTTAAAATTATAGTGGAAGATTGGCTATTGCTCCTGGATGGTGTTTATTTGTTTATGCAGTATAAGTAAAGATCATAGGTTGTAATTTGGGGTTTTAATTTTGATTTACAGCAGTGTATAGTGGCCTATGTGAGTAGAATTCATAGATATTGAATTAAAAAAAAAAAAATTTAATTTATTACCTTGAGCTCCACATAGCCCTACCTTTCAGTAAAATCCGGTCATCTGTATATTGGTCACATCTTTAAGGCTATTGACTCTAATTTAGTGATGCATTAATGGAAGTATAATGGAAAGTGTAGTTCCAATTCACTTTACATTCAGATAAAGACGATTGCCAATTTGGTAGTATCAGCATACCTTTTTGATAATTGATGGTTTTACCATTAGTGAATGAAGTGCATTACAGATCTTCGAAGTAGATTATGGCTTTGTGTGATTTGTAAACAAGTATCTAACAGCAGGCTTGCAAGCTGTAGTGAACCATAGCAGGCAAAAGCCATAGAACTTGAGAATATTCCAGATGATGCTGCTTGACATGAGTTGTAACAGACTAATGCAATATATAGGTGGTTCATTTATGTCATGGTGCTCATTTCTTTTTCTTGTCCATGTTGTGAATGGGTTGCCATTATTATTTGTAGATCAAAACATTTTCTAACAATGGATGTTCCAAAGTGATGAAATGAAAAAGTACAACTCCTTGAATGGTACTTTCCTTTAAGTCTCGTGATTTTATGTTCTTTTTTTTTTTGGGGGTAAATTTGCAATCCTATATTGTACAGAACATGTTTGCTAATGACTCCTGAATGATAGTAGTTCCCTTTCAAGAAGGAAAATGAAGAGGGGGAAGGAGAAATGAAAAGGTTTATTGAGATTTTTGAGCTATTATCCCAAAAATAGGACATACTCAAGAATTCCAACCTATTATCTTTTTGAGCTAACTTTGGGAAACAACTCATCCTTCACAGACATGTTTATTGAGATTTTATTAGATGTTTGAGCAGCTTAAGGATGATGCTTGAAGTCTATATATATCTATTATATAAGGGTGCAGTTTGTATAGAGCCTAAGCTCTAAACAATCAAATTAGAGCCTACTGTCAAATAGTGTCGAGAAATGTGGTTTCAATACTGGAAATCTTTGTGATAGCTCAAAATATATTTTCATCTTTATTTATAAAGTTTCATGCTTCAAAAATAGTGTAGATCGACAGATCTATGAAATCTTGAAAATTGATGGTCCAAAAATGCATTACAAAATGCACTATTTCCAAAACTTGAAATCCATTTTTTTCTCATGTCCATGCATCTTGAGGTCGAGATGATCAATTTGAGGATATTTGGGCATCAAAACAACCTCTTCTAGTGAAATGTTTGAGGTAGGCTCTAATTTAATTGTTTAGAGCCTCGGCTGTATCCCATTATATAATGTATATATATGTGTGTTTCTTTTGGGTAAATCAGTGGGGTAGAAGGTCCCCTACCCGTTTTTTCATTAAATTAAAAAGAGAAGAATGAACAAGTTCATAAAGATGCAACCCTATAATAAGGCATTCGTGCAATATCATAAAGCAACCCAAAGAGATGAAATCTGGAGGTTTGGAGCTCCAAATGGTAGCAGCTCAGTAGGCAGTAATTTTCTTTGCACGGATGTTGGATTCCATAGTAGCCTTATGATAGATGTGTGAAATCGACTACTCATGTTCATATGAAGAAAGTTTATAGCTGCAGTTGGTTGCTACAGTATGGAGTGTCCACGGTGGTTTGTGGTGACCGCGAATGAGTTGAGAAGTAAAGTTGAGTCACTTCAATTTGTAGACGGAAGCATTGCGGCTGAATAGCCAAATCCACCCCCGCCTCCAGTGCATGGAATTTTGCCTAGTCGTTTGACGCATCCCCAGTGGTTTGTTGAAAACGACAATGAAGCAACCACTATTGTCCCCACTCATCGCCAACCCAGGATTCTGAAAAGAGGCCCCAGCAATATTCAACTTGACGTGTCAAGGTGGAGGTATGGACCAGGATATTGGGATGGCAGCATGAACCTTTTGCTGACACCATGGGATGGAGAGATTCTCTACCATCGCCTTCTTTGAGATGTGGAAAGGCTGAGACTTAGCAGCGGCCAAATCTCTCACATGGGAAGCAATTCGGTTAAGTAGTTTCTCACATTTAGTAGCTTTCAATTGAAAGGATCGAATATTTGCGCTACTCCCAAAACTATCAAATTGAGAGGTGCCACACATTTTGAAGCCCCACAGATATGGAACAGAATGCAGTCCATTTCCCAAGCACAAGCGCAATAGATTGTTCTGGCCAAAACCACACCTTCATGCAATGGATCTCCAAACACCTTGTGAAAAACACATTGAAGTAGCAAATGATTTGAGTTATCATCATTGTCACAACAGACGAGACATGGGAGCCAAAAACACTCCTCTAGATTGCAAAATTGAGATGGTGGGCAAGCGTTAATGAACGGATAGCTAAGAATTTGCTCGAGGGTGACATTGAGATGACCAAAGAGCCTTAAATTAGGTTGGGTGCTACCTTTGCATCTGATAAAATCCCATGCATCCGTAATAGAAAAACGACCATTTGAAGAGTGCACTTAGATAAGTAAATCGCTAGTGGGTTGTAGCGAGAGGCTAAAAGATCTTTCCTCCTCCCAAGCTCGAATTAGAGGGCCCCTAGCTTGAAGTAGAGTAAACATTAAGTTGAATGTAAAGGTTCTTTACCCATGCAACAATGTTTATAGGCAATATATTGGGATATGTCCATTAAAATCTCCGAACCAAAATCTGATTGAAAATGTGAACTATGGCAAGAAAGAAATTGTTTATAATGTCATGGTCCTTGAATTTGTAGTAGCCCCTCATCATTGTGGTTTTGTCGCTCTTTCGACTGACTAGGGTGTATGAAAAACTATTTATTGGCCACTCATAAAAGAATAATAGAGAAAGTCTTATTCTTCTTTGCATGCTCATCTAAATGGTCTGATGTTTCTATGTAGCACTGAACTACCGAAGTGGCTTTAGCAGAAGAACCTTCAACCTGCTAGACCTTGTTACTTTCATTCAATGAAACTTCTTTTCTTACTTTATTGATTTGAATCACTTAGGAATTTATTAGTTTTGATGTTAATTTATTAGTTTTGATGTTTAATTCATATTTGCTTGGAGTGGGAGGGGTGGGGACGAGACCGAGGGATCGACACTACAGGAAGCTCCCCCTGAGCGCGCATCCCATACAAATTTTTAATTAATAAATGTTGTTTTGAAAAAAGAAATTTTAAAAATTAAAAATTCCAACAGTCCGATAAAATACAATAAAAATGGACACACAAAATAGCAATAAAAAGTGGTCATTTATTAATTAATGTTTATGTAGTTAATACATAATATTTTTATATTCCTTTGGAGGTACAGCTT